GCCCATGGAAAAAGGAGCGAATCTAGATACTTATGTAAATTTTGTTTGGTCCCTCTTCATAGAGGAAAATGTTTTACGCAGTACCATACGTTAAAAAAGTACTAGGAACTTTAATTGTTTTTGTAAATAAAAATGTTATAATTATTGAAAAACAACACCTAAAGTGCATTATGATCTGTAGTTATGATGATTTAAATAACGTGCAGTTTGCCCAAAAATGTGCGGTCCCTGGCGTATGTCTTAGAGATTTCTATGCGGTACGCAATGTGTTAAAGAGCAAAAGTGAGATAAGGCCAAAAAACAAAAAGGAAGGGAGCCCAAGTGTTGGTAATATTGCTTGGTGTAAAACTTGGGAAATTCAGGAAATAAGCTGTAAAAAATAAGCGGTAAGAAATAAGCTGTAGAAGCGGTAGACGTTAGAAAATAAGCGGTAGAAATAGAGAAATAAGTAGAAATAAGCTGTAGAAAATCAGCGGTAAGAAATAAGCTGTAAAAATAAATGGTAGGAAATAAGCTATAGATACAGAGAAATAAGCGGTAGAAATAAGCTGTAGAAATAGAGAAATAAGTAGAAAATAAGCGGTAGAAAATAAGTAATTAGGAAATATAAAATAAGGTGGAAATCGCCTAGGTGTTGTTTAAGCCACTGTAAAGTAAAAAATGGCTGTGGTCGATGTTGTTTAAGGAAGTAATTTTTATTTTAGACCTAGATTGTAAGCTCTTGCAGCAGTTGCATTGTTTCTAGGCTTTGGTTATCTTTCCTTGTGTGACCAGATAGCTCCCTGGGACTTTGGGTCCGTGTGAGACGCCAGCTCTGCAGGACCGAGGGTTGCTCGTTTCCATGCAGCCGCGGATAAAGAAAGAAGCTGAGAAGGGACCAGACTTCCACCTGCTTGGACAGGGCTGATTTGACTGGGACTGGTGCGGACTCAGTGCCGAGGTCAACCGCCCAAACAGCCTGATCCAGGGGACTGGTTTTGCATCAATGACATCTTTGCATCGGCGACATCTTACTACGCTAGTGACTGAGATATCAGCATGGAGTCAGCTGAAGAAGATGGCGACTGAGGCCAAGCAAATGTTAGAAAAGCAAGTGGAAGCCATGCTAGCGTTGGTGAACTGTCAGTTTTCCGTAAAATCTTGCGGAGCTAAAATCTAAGGACTTTGAGTAAGATATCCTGAAAA